TCCTCTCCTCTATCCCTCTTCTATCCGCCTCCCACTCTCTCCCTATTTATTTCAAAACCCCCTTCCCCTCCCCCTTTTCTGATGAAGGGTCTAGGCCCGAAACGTCAGCCTCTCTGCTCCTATGATGCTGCTTGGCCTGCTGTGTTCATCCAGCCCTGCACCTCCAGCATCTGCAGTTCCTACTATCTCGCATTCCATATCCTACCTACTTGCTAAGTGAAAGAGTTTTTTTTAATATTCCCCTTGTTGCTTTTGCAAATCACTTTAAATTTATGCTGTTATGTTCTCCCTTTTACAGACAGGAACAGTTTCTCTCTATCAACTCTACTCTTGATTCTGAAAACCTCCTGAGATCTTCTCTTGGTCTTGTCTACAAGGAGAACAGTCCCAATTTCTTCAAACTATCTTCTAACTGAAGTTTCTCATCCCTGATGTTGTTCTTTTAAATTGCTTTCACCCTTTCTCCAGTGCCGTCGCATCCTTTCTGTAATGTTCCCAGAACTGTACACAGTATCCTAGCTGAGGTCTAACAAATGTCTTAAATCAGTTCAACATCACCTCATTGCTCTTATTATGCTAGGTGTCTACTGTCACGTTCAATGATCTGTGCATATACATACACCCAGGTTCTTCTACTCCTGTGCTTCCTTCCCCTTTAGGATTGTAACCCTATTTCATGCTGTCTGTCAATGTTTTTCCTGCCAAAATGCATCAAATTAGACTTCCCTGCATTGAAAGCTATGTGCCACCTATCTGTTCACTCCACCAAGTTGTCCACGTTCTTTGATTTCTATACCGTCCTCCTCACAGTTTATAATTTTCCAAATTTTACGGCATTTACAAACGTTGAAATTGTTCCCTGAAAACAGATCTAAATCATGAATATGTATGAGGAAGAGCAAGGGCTCCAATACTGACGTCTACATCCAGTTGGAGGCTAAATCCTGCCAGGTGGCTAATTATACTTAATTCCAAACCATCAGAAACCAGTTATACTCCTCTTGGCCTCTTTGGGCATGCTTTCCCAAGATGTTGAGAGATCTGTTTTTTAGTAGTTGATGATCCCTAATTTAGTTAATATTATGATCAATTCCTGTCAATCAATGATTCAGTGGCAAGGTACCATCAACAAAACTATTGTAATGCATTTCTCAGGCCAGTGTATTTGAACAAGTTACTTTTTTTTCCCCTCTTATGTCCTAGGTGTTTCTTTGCCTTCAGTTTTCACCACAGTCATGTCGAAAGGTATTTCTGCCCAGTTTGAGTGCCAGGAGCTGGAGAGCACCATGGGGAAGGAGCTCACTCGGTTACTGCACGCTGCTTCACCCAGTGAGCAAGAAGTATGTATTCTCATTGCAGTAGCTATCACTTCTATATGATTGAACATAGAACTTGTCTCCAATAGTTGTCTAAAGGTGAAACAAATGGATGTTGACTAATTGTAGGTGACCTTTTGATAGAAATCAAGTAAAGTGATGGATTTTTATTAATCATGTTGCTATGTTGTCTGGCATTTGTTACTCAAGGTAAGTCTAACCCACAGCACTGCAGCCACCATGAGCAGGGCAAGGTTTTAGGGCTCTTGACCATCTCCACCTCTTCATTGTCGATGCAGACAGGGATGTGCCCTCCACTCCACTTCCTGAAATCAATGACCAGCTCCTTCGTTTCGCTGACTTTAATGGAGAGATTGTTGTCTTTACACCATGCTGCTAAGCACGCAACTTCTTTGCTGTATTATATCTCGTTTGAGATCTGACCTACAACAGTTGTGTTGTCAGCAAACTTGTAAATGGAGTTAGGGGTGGAATTTGGCCACGGTCATGAGTGTATAAAGAGTATAATAGGGGCCTGAGTACACAGTCTTGTGGGGTACCGGTGTTGTGGATCATGGTGGAGGTGGTGTTGTCGCCTATTTTTAGTGATTGTGGTCTATGGGTCAGGAAGTCGTGGATCCAGTCACGGGGGGAAGCCGAGACCTAGATCTGAGTTTAGAGATGAGTTTGTTTGGAATTGTGATGCTGAAGGTGGAAGTGTAGTCAATACATAGGAGCCTAATGTAGGTATCCTTATTATCCAGAAGTGCCAGGGAGATGGCGAATGCTGTGGACCTGTTGTGCTGGTAGGTGAATTGCAAAAGATCAAGGTAATTTGGTAGGTCGGAGTTGATGTGAGCTGTAGCTTACCCCTCAAAGCACTTTATAATTATGAAGGTCAGAGCCACTGGGCAGTAGTCATTGAGGCATGCTGTATGATTTTTCTTTGGCACCAGCATGATGGTAGTCATCTGGAAGCAGGTGGGGACTTCAGCCTGTAGCAAGGAGAAATTAAAAATGCTGCGAATATTCCCATCAACTGGTCTGCACAGGATCTGAGTGCATGGCTGAGGACTCCATGCAGACCGGTCACATTCTATGCATTCGCTGTCAAGGCTGATCCAACGTCTGACCAAGGGTACAGGTGCATCCAAGACTGTTGGGATAGGTGACATCATTTCACTGACCTTTTACTCAAAGCAAGAGTGAAATGCATTTGAGATAGTAGGAACTGCAGATGCTGGAGAATCCGAGACAACAAGGTGCAGGGCTGGATGAACACAGCAGGCCAAGCAGCATCATAGGAGCAGAGAGGCTGACGTTTCGGGCCTAGACCCTTCATCAGAAAAGGGGTTTCTGAAATAAATAGGGAGAGAGTGGGAGGCGGATAGAAGAGGGATAGAGGAGAGGATAGGTGGAGAGGAAACAAACAGGTCGAAGAGGCGGGGATGGAGCCAGTAAAGGTGAGTGCAGGTGGGGAGTTAGGGAGGGGATAGGTCAGTCCAGGGAGGACGGACAGGTCAAGAGGGCAGGATGAGGTTGGTCGGTAGGAGATGGAGGTGCGGCTTGAGGTGGGAGGAGGGGATAGGTGGGAGGAAGAGACGAGCTGGACTGGTTTTCCCTAATCTGTTCTTCCTCCCACCTATCTCTTTTGAACTACCTCAATGCCAGTATATCCTTTCTTAAATACAATGACCAAAACTGTAACAGTACCATAGGTGCAGTCTCGCTAAAGCCCTGTGTAGTTGTAGCAAATCTTCCCTGTTTTCAAACTCCAATCCCCTAACAGCAAAGGTAAAAATTCAACTTGTCCTCTTGATTATTTGCTGTACCTGCATGCTAACTTTATGTTTCACACACAAGAATACACAGATCCCCATGCTTTCCTTTTTTGGAGTGTCTTCCCATTTAAATAATCTGTTTTTTGATTCTTCCTACCAAAGTGCAGCACCTCTTGCTTTGCTACATTAAGCTCATCTAACAAGTTTTTGCCCACTCTCTCAGCCTGTCTGTATGCCCTTGCAGATTCCTTGTGACCCACCAATGCTACCCTTCTCGTGCAGGTTTGCTGTTCATTTTGCTCCATGAGTGATGATGAATTGCAGGAAAATACAGGCCAGTTAGCTTAACATCTGTTATTAAAAGTTATTATGGCAGAGTATTTATAAAAAAGCAAGAAAAGCAGGCAAAGACAACCTGGTTATGTGATAGGGAAATCCTGTTTAACCAATTTATTGGAATTCTTTGAGGAAGCAATATTTACTGTGTATAAAGGGGAACTGGTGGATGTACTGTATGGTGCCACATCAAATTTTATTGTAGAAAACAAAAGCTCTTCATGTATGGTGTACTGTATTAGCATGGAGAGCAGATTGGCTGGCTGACAGGAAGCAGCAAATGTTATTGTTTTGGATGGAAAGATGTAGTGAGTGGTGTGCCATAAGGATCAGTGCCGGCCCTCCACTTCTTACAATTTTTATATATAAGACTTGGATGAAGGGAGCAAAAAGGAACTTTTGTAAGGAAGACATAAGGAGGCTACAAAGGAAAATAGGTTAGGAGAGTGGGCAAAAATCTGGCAAATGGAGAATAATATGGGAAAATGTGAAATGGTTAATTTTGGCAGGAAGAGTAGAATATCTAACATGAGAAATTTCATAGCTCTAAGATGTGGAGGGACCAGAGTGACCTTGTTTATCAATCACACAAGGTTGACATGCAAGTAGAGTAAATAAATAGGAAAACTCATAGATTGTGTTGACTTATTGTGAGGAAAAATGAATACAAAGTATGAAGTTCATGCCTGCGTTGGTGAGACCACATTTGGAGTACCATGCCCAGTTATTTAAGGAAGGTTGCAAACGAGGTGGGAGTAGCTCAGCAAAGTTTGACTACATTAGACAATCTAACCATTCCAGTTATTAATGGAGAAAAGTTGGACAGGCTAGATTTGAATCATTTGGAGATAAGCAGAAAACAAGGCAACTTGATACAAGCTCCTTGGGGATCTTGACAGAGTAATATGGCAATGATGTTTCCTATTGTTGAAGAATGTAGAACGTTGAATCACTGGTTAAGAATAAGGCGTTAGCCATTTATGACAGTGGTAAAGATATTAGTTTTCTTAGTGTAAAAAGAGCTTGAATATTTTTCAGGTAGAGGTAGATACATTCTTGATCAGCAAGGGGATGAAAGGCATTGGGTTGGGGGAGGAGGGGAAGAGTAGATGGCGGGGCTGGAGGTTACATGGTGTGGATACTGGAATGAGCATAATTCAGACTGGTTGCAATCCTGTTGGATGGCTGGGTAGTCTTGAGGCACTACTCCTAATTTGGATTGTAAGGCTGTAAGGGTCCTTGTGAGGGTGCACAGGAGATTTACTAGTATGGTTGCAGGGATGGGGAGGGTTATTTATAAGGTTAAGTTATAAAGACTGGAATCGTTCACTTTGGACCAAAGGACATATAGTTAGAGGATTAAGATTCGGGGACACACATTCATGGTTTAATGCAAGAGATGCAAGGGGAGAAGGATGAAGAACGTATTTACCCAGTGAGTGGTAATGACTGGGAGCTTACTGCCCCTGCCAAAAAGAAATAGTGCTCGAAGCAAAAGCATCAAAATTTTTTCAAAGGAAAACAAAATGGCTCTTGAATGAAATACTAGGATCAGGCTGTGGAGTGGGACTGACTGGGTTGATTTTCAGGAAACCTGCATGTATTCAATATGTCGAATGGCTGATGTGTCATAATGACTTATGCAAACTTTGTGTTAAGTTTTTAGATGAAAGTACTGCTTATACTTTTATCAAATATTCAAATTTAAACAGTGGTACTATTCAATCAGTAGGCACATCTGTTGAATAACTAATGACGTTCAAAACCTTTTGTCTTACAGAGCACCTGTTTAGCATTTTTAAAAATTATGCTAGTTTTAGCCCTTTTTTGTCACCCTGTCTTCAAAGAATTAATGAGGGCAGTGAGCATGTCAGGAAATCAACAATGCTTTGTTATAAATTTTTAAAAAGATTTATAGAATCCCTACAGTGTGGAAGCAGGCCATTCGACCCATCAAGCCAACACCAATGCTCTGACGAGCATCCCAACTAGGACACACCCCATCTTTGTAACCCTGCATTTCCCACAGCTGACCCACCTAGCCTGCACATCCCTGAGCATTATGGGGTAATTCAGCATGGCCAATCTGCCTAACCTGCACATCTTTGGACAGTAGGAGGAGCCGGAGCACCTGGTGGAAACCCACGCAGGCAAGAGGAGAATGTGCAGACTCCACACAGACAGTTGCCCGAGGGCGAAATTGAGCCCGGTTCCTGGTGCTGCGGTAGGACCACTGAGCCACCTTCAAAATTTTCAGAATGGGAAGACATTCACCCCATCATGTCTATGCTGGCTGTCCATTGGAATAATTTACCTAGTGACAGACCCCTGCTTTCACCCTGTAACACTACATGTTCTTCCTTTTCTGAAAGTAATTTGGTTCTCTCGTGACTACCTCAATTGAGCCTGCTTCTTCTACAGTGTTGCAAAATTGTTATGCAGTGTTTGTGGTATAGTATGTCTGTCATATTAAGATTGGAGATATTTAATGTTAATTGTTTTGTATTTTAAGCAAATGAAGAAAGATATCGAGGGATTTCAGAAGTTGTTTCGTAGCTTGCTGCAGAGGAGAGGTCCTTCAGTAGAATGGGAGAAGATCCAAAAAGCACCTGAAGACTCTGTAAGTTCTGTGCATACGGTAGAATTGTAGACTGCAACAGCTAAAGTGAGCATGTAGGATAGAGTATGATCATTGTGAAAATGATGAAATCCATATAACTGAAATATTTTCACATTTGTGGTCTGAATTTAATCTCGGTGATTAAATAGGGATTTAATATAACCTTGACTGATTAGGCAGAGTTCTATCAGAGCATGAATGCCTTTCAAGGGGAATAGACACTATCTTCATTTGGGGAATAAACCATTTCTTGCTGGTTTATTGGCGCAAAGTTGCAATTTAGTAATGAAAAGAGTATGCTATAAGTTCAAATTTCCCTTTTATACTTCTAATAAAACAAACATATAAATTGTTTTTTGCCCTTGATGTAATTTAGAATTAGAATAGGCAGGGGGAGGTAATTGTTATCAAAGTCACTTTTTCAGCTTATTATCTTTTCCGTGAGCCTTTATGATGACGACTAATCGCAATGAATATGTTGAGTTGCTGGATTTTACCATTTCAAAGTGCCTGTCTTAATTACTGTCTTCAGTGAATGTTGATCATTTAAAGCTGTCAGAATCCAGCTATCTCATTATCTGTTCAGTTTTAGTTTTTGTACCAGTTGGCAGCCCTGGCTACAAATGCCACTGGTTTATTTTAATGCCCCTTGATCAGTGTTGTGTTTTTCTTTAGCCAAGAAGACACAGCAGTCTGAACAAAAAAAAACTAACCAGGATGTTGCCTGGCTTGGAGGGTATTATCTATGTGGACAGATTGGACAGACTTGGTTTGTTTTAACTTCAATGTTGGAGGTTGAGGGGTGACTTGACAGAAGTTTACAGAATTGAGAGGCATGGATGGGATGGACAGTCCAAGGCTTTTCCTTGGGTAGAAATCTCCATTATGAGGGAATGTAGGTTTAAGGTTAAAGGGGGATAATTTAAAAGAGCTGTGAGAGGCAAGTTTTTTTAGAGGGTGTTAAGTCATAGTCATGTAAACCGTCATAGAGACAGTCATCAGTCAACAGACATACAGTCATGGAAACCGTCATAGAGACAGTCATCAGTCAACAGACATACAGTCATGGAAACAGACCCTTCAGTCCAACTTGTCCATGCTGACCAGATATCCTAAATAAACCTAGTCCCGTTTGCCAGCACTTGGCCCATATCCCTCTAAACCCTTCCTATTCATGCACCCATCCAGATGCTTTTAAAATGTTGTAATTGTACCAGCCTCCACCACTTCCTTTGGCAGCTCATTCCATACATGCATCACCCTCAGCATGAAGACTTTGCCCCTTTATAAATCTTTCCTCTCTCACCTTAGACCTATGCCCTTTAGTTTTAGACTCCATACCCCAGGGAAAAGACCTTGACTATTCACCCTATCCATGCCCCTCATGATTTTATAAACCTTTATAAGGTCACCCCTTGGTCTCCGCCCCTCGGTCTCCACCACTCCAGGGAAAATAGCCTCAGCCTATTCAGCCTCTCCCTATAGCTCAAACCTTCCAACCCTGGCAACATCCTTGTAAATCTTTTCTGAACCCTTTCAAGTTTCACAACATCCTTCCTATAGCAGGGAGGCCTGAATTGCATACAGTATTCCAAGAGTGGCCTAACCAATGTCCTGTACAGCCACAACGTGACTTCTCAGCTCCTATACTTAATGCACTGATCAATAAAGGCAAGCATATCAAATGCTGCCTTCACTATCTTGTCTACTTGGGACTCCACTTTCAAGGAATTATGCACCTACACCCAGGTCTATTTTTTTTAAGTAACACTACCCAGAACCTTACCATTTAAGTGCATAAGTCCTGCCCTGATTTGCCTTTCCAAAATGCAGCACCTCACATTTATCTAAATTAAACTTCATCTGCCACTCCTCAGCCCATTGGCCCATCTGATCAAGGTCCCGTTGTAGTCTGAGGTAATCTTTGCTGTCCACTACACCTCCAATTTTGGTGTCATCTGCAAACTTACTAACCATACCTCCTATGTTTACATCCAAGTCATTTATATAAATGACGAAAAGCAGTGGACCCAGCACCGATCCTTATAGCACACCACTAGTCTCAGGCCTCCAATGTGAAAAGCAACCCCTCTACCAGCACCCTCTATCTTCTATCTTTGAGCCAATTCTGTATCCAAATGGCTAGTTCTCCCTGTATTCCATGTGATCTAAGCTTGCTAACCAGTCTACCGTGAGGAACCTTGTTGAATGCCTTAACGAATTCCATACAGATCACGTCCACCACTCTGGCTTCCTCGATCCTCTTCGTTACTCCTTCAAAAAACTCAATCAAGTTAGTGAGACACGATTTCCCACGCACAAAGCTATGTTGACTATCCCTAATCAGTCCTTGCCTCTCCGAATGCACGTAAATCCTGTCCATCAGGATTCCCTCCAACAACTTGCCCACCCACTGATGTCAGGCTCAGCGGTCTATAGTTCCCTGACATTTCCTTACCACCTTTCTTAAACAGTGGCACCACGTTAGCCAACCTCCAGTCTTCTGGCACCTCACATATGGCTATTGGTGATACAATTATCTTAGCAAGGGGCCCAGCAATCACCTCCCTAGCTTCCCACAGAGTTCTAGGGTACACCTGATCAGCTCCTGGGGATTTATCCACCTTTATGCGTTTTAAAATGTCCATATTACCAAGGAGAAATTGCTGGACATTTTTTAAGATGTCGCTATTTTATTTCCACACCTTCTCTATCTTCCATATATCCTTCTCCACGGTAAACACTGATACAAAATACTTGTTTAGTATCTCCCCCATCTCCTGTGGTTCCACACATTGGGGCCCTGTTCTCTCTCTCGTTACTCTTTTGTCCTTGATGTATTTGTAGAATCCTTTTGGACTGTCCTTAACTCTATTTGTCAAAGCTATCTCATGTCCCTTTTTGTCCTCCTGATTTCCCTCTTGGGTATCCTCCTACTGCTTTTATATTGTTCTAGGGATTCACTCAAACCTTGCTGCCTATACCTGACATATGCTTCCTCCTTCTCTTGACCAAAACCTCCATTTCTCTAGTCATCCAGCATTCCCTACACCCAGCAGCCTTGTCCTTCACCCCCACAGGAACATAACTTTCTCTGGACACTCAGTATCTCCTTTTTTGAAGGCTTCCCATTTTTCAACCATCCCTTTTCCTGCAAACATCTGCCCCCAATTTTGAAAGTTCCTGCCTAATACTGTCAAAATTGGCCTTCCTTCAATTCAGAACTTTAACGTTTAGATCCGGTCTATCCTTTTCCATCACTAGTTTAAAACTAATATAATTATGGTCACTGGCTCCAAAGTGCTCACCTGCCCTGCCCTTGCACCTTCTCTAATAGGTACATCTACATGCTAATCAGAAAATGTTCTTGTACATGCTTAACAAATTCCTCTCCATCCATGACCTTAACACTATGGCTGTCTGAGTCTATGTTTGGAAAGTTAAAATCCCCTACCATAATCACCCTATTATTCTTACAGATAACTGAGATCTCCTTACAAATTTGTTTCTCAATTTCCTGCTGACTGTGGTGGGGTCTACAGTATGATCACAGTAAGGTGATCATCCCTTTCTTATTTCTTAGTTCCACCTAAATAACTTTCCTGGATGTACTCCTGGGAATAACCTCCCTAAGTACAGCCGTAATGTTATCCCTAATCAAACTGCCACTCCCTCTCCTCTCTTGCACACCCACTCCCCAAAACACCATCTCTATCCTTCCTTAATCTGCCAGTCCTGCTCATCCCTGAGCCAAGTCTCTGTAATCGCTATGTTATCCCAGTCCCACATTCCCAACCACACCCCGAGTTCATCTGCCTTACCTGTTAGGCCCCTCGCATTGAAATAAATGCAGTTTAATTTATCAGTCCTACCTCATTCTCTGCATGTTCCTGCCTGCCTGACTGTTTGACTCGCTCATTTTCCCCAACTGCAACAGTTTCTTGTTTCACTGTCTCCCTGGGTCCCCCCACCCACTAGTTTACATCCTCCTGAGAAGCTCTAGCAAATCTCCATATCAGTACATTAGTCCCCTTCCAATTCAGGTGCAATCCGTCCTTCTTAAACAGGTCACTTCTACCCCAGAAGAGATTCCAATGATCCAAAAATATGAATCCTTTTAGCCTGCATCAGCTCCTCAGCCATGCTGTTCATCTGCTCTATCTTCTTATTCCTACCCTCACTAGCTCGTGGCACCGAGAGTAATCCAGGTATCACTACCCTTGATCTCCTTTTAAAATGCCTGCCTAATTCCTAATATTTTCTCATCAGAATCTTATCCTTTTTTCTTCCTATGTTGTTAATTGCAATGTGTACATGACATCCTGCTGGTCTCTCTCCCCTTTGAGAATATTCTGCACCCTCTCTGAGATATCCTGGATCCTGGCACCAGGGAGGTCACACACCATTGTGATGTCTTGCTGTCTGCTGCAGAAACGTCTGTCTGTGCCTCTGACTTGAGAGTCCCCTATTACAATCGATCGCTTGGAACCTGTCATTCCCCTTGTTACGGTACACCCAGTCTCTGACTGTCAGTGCTATTTTCCCCCCTTAATAGCCACAGGAGACTCCTGCATTACCTGCCTCCCTCTCCTACCTTTTCTGGAAGTAACCCACCTACCTCACTGTATCTGCGGTTTATCTCCCTTCCTGCAACTGCCATCCATCACAACTCCCTAGCTGCTGTAAATTCCTCATTACCTCCAACTGCTGCTCCAACTGATCCGTGCAATCCTATTGGATTCGTAACCAACCACACTTCCGGCAGACATAATCATCGATAACCAAGTGCCTGGAATGCATCAGCAGAGGTGGGGAGGCAGATATAATAGAATGTTTAAGAGGCATCTTGACAAATACATGAGTAAGCAGGGAATAGAGGGCTTGGCAGGCTGAAGGGCATGTTCTTGTGTTATATTGTTCTTTGTAAAAATTTGCTTTTCCAGTTGTCTGTGAATGTAGTTTTGATTAAATCATGAAACCAGTGGGGGAGGAAAGAGGAA